AGACTATTATGCCGGTTTGTGTACAAGAAACACGGATAGAGTCATACGATCATGCGAACATTTATTTGCTACGACATTCTCATGATTTCTCAGATTTCCTCTATGTTGTCGACGTTTTTGGAGCTCATCGTCCACTTGGCATCCCCTTATTTGGAAAGCGTTCTTCTCTCTCTATATATATATATATATATATATATATATATATATATATATATATATATTTATAGTTATTGTGAGATTTGAGTATGTGTGATGGCAAAAAGAAAACTATAGTGCAATTGTTAGTGGTCATGCATAGGCAAGGTAAGGCAAGGCAAGAGGGTACATGGTGAAATCGGAAATAAAAACAGACATTGCTCACGTTGCGGTTAAATTTAAAGGCAAAGTGGAAAATTTTGCTGGCGATGTTTCCCGCCGAGTTCAAAGCTGCAGATCAAACAACTCGGGTTACGTGCCGCGACTGGAAGGCACGAAGTTTGGAAAATCATCCGGCGGGTGGGCAGTGCCTGTATTGTTCTCGCGAACGCTGTTTGCTTAACCCGTGCCGTGACTATAACAAGAAGTTATTGTTGCCACGGAGTGCGGAGAATGCAGAACCTTATTGAATTCGTGCGAGGTAGACCGCGGGGGATAGCCTTTGCGTCGTATCGATAGCCGGACCCGATAGCTTTCATTTCCCGGTGTTCATCGAAAGTTGAGAGAATGCTTTATTGAATGGCGAAACAACTTCTTCCCGAGGAACGCCGAAGTTTGCGTAGAAATCGCGACGGTACGTGCGATGTTCCGCGTGCGCGATTACCTGACTTGAGGATTCAAATGAATTTTTAGCGCCGCAGAAAAACAGAGAGAAAAGGAAAAAGCAGAGAGCTCCACTTGTTATACCCCGGTCGCGGTTGTACACACTGATTTCACCACAAATTCGCGATGAATTACATTCCCGACTCGTCAGCAGTTTCGGCCTGGCTATCGATCCTTTTGATCCCGCCGCGCTCTTTCGCTATGCCTTGAGCTGCGCCGAGCGATTTCCGCAATTTTCACATGTACCTCGTAACAATTTCAATTTCTACCCGCGCCGAAGTCCCATTTTCCCCGGCATACAATGGAAAATTTTATCGGGCGCGTTCTATCTCGCCCTTCTTGCACGGCCGTTGCCATCGCGGCCTCTCCTCGATGCCACCCCCTCCCGATTCTTTTCCATCGTATTCAGCTACTCCTATGGGATTATGATAATGACGATCCCTGCGATCGTCGAAACCTCGGCTAATAGCGAATCGGGCGATTCATATAAATTGAATCAAAAACCCCTCGCCGGAGTGCGGCGTCACATAGCGCGGAGCAAATTGTCGAACGTCAGTGTTTTATGTCGGATTAATGTTTCTTCCCTTCCTTTCCTCCTTTCTTTCTTATTCTTTTTTTGCAAATGGTAATTGAGTGATTGTATTTCTCAGGAATTAAGTGAAATGGGAATCTAACGATCCATTACGTTGCTATTTATTGTAAAGGTGCATTCACACTTTGGCAGAAAAGCAGAGAGCAGAAAAGCAGAAGTCGATCAGAACTCGTTGCTGGTGGTCAGGTGGTCAAGTTATCGGATGGATTAGTTTTTGCTCTTCTACTAGAATTTTGATTCGCTTCTGCTTATCTGTTTTTCGCCTTTCTGCCAAGGTGTAAATGCGCCCTAACACTTCATTCGTTACAGTGGATATTCGATATCACATCGCGACAGAAATAGCTGTTTACCCCATTAATAAAATTGTTGATTAAATATAATAGCAATATTTTATTGTGTCTAATTCAAGGAAAATTTCATATTTGTTGTACGCTAGATTTAATATTACATCTAACAAAGTATGTTTTGTTATAAACTTATGGGAATAATTTTCCGTATGTTTCTCGTGATATTATTAGGACCTTAACTTAGTTTCCGCCCGTAAATGTTAGATGGCAATGCAAACAGTTCTAGTAGTCATTACTAACGAAACAGGTAGTTTGTGATTAATTTCGACATTTCTCGATAACATTCAGTCAGCATACACAATTATTTTCCTAAACAACAATTTCTTTTGCTTTGTGAAAAATGGAACGCGATAAAGTGTTTTTTCGACATGTGCTTTTGCACTATTTTGATTTGAAAAAAA